TGGACAGATAACTTTTGAGTGACTCTTGAAGGACCAGCACAACATCCTCTTGTACCACAGTTTGAAGAATTTATATTCCAGAATCTGGCAGTAAGTTTTAGGAGCTTATCTCCTATCCTGAAAAGTCTGTCTTGCAGAATTTACTAAAAATTAATCTTCACATTAATTCTTAATTATTTTGCTGTTAACATGTGTCTTTTCTTCTCCACCTGTTTTTTTCTGACTCCACTGTCCCAGTGAGCTTTTTTTTTTTTGTCCAATGGTCATGTCTTAACTTTGCAATTTCTGTATTGCATTAGTTTTAAATATTTCTCATGGGGATTTAACAATTTTTGACTTTTCAGTCTGAGTTAAACTTCATCTGTAAAAGAAAATGGCCTAATAACTCTGCACACCTGAATATGAGGAGTTTTTCTCTTCCAGCCTTCATGGACAATTATATATCACTCATAAATGATTAAATACAAAATGAATAGTAGTTATTAAGACTGGTGTGGTTTGGAATTGATAAAATGTGCTTGGAAACAAATATAATCAGAATATCAACGTGCCTAATAATTATGCATGTGGTGTAAATCTTTAAAGGTTTTGGTAACACTTTATAATAAGGTCTCATTTGTTAACATTAGTAAATGCATTAACTAACATGAACTAACAATGAACAATATATTTTCACAGAATTTATTAATGTTTGTTGAAGTTAGTTCACAGTGCATTAACTAATGTTAACAGATAAAACATATATTTTTTAATGTTTAAGTTTTGAATATTAACTGACAATAATGCATGCTATATAATTATTGTTCATGTTAATTAATATAGTTAATGTTAATAACTGAAACCTTATTGTAAAGTGTTACTAAAGTTTTATATATTGTTCTATGTATGTGTGTTTCACAGTCTTGATGGTTTGGATTAACCCTTCAATTGCCGTTTCCCTTAAAACCAGACTGACGGAGGGTTACTGTAAATGCATGTGCCAGCTGGGCACAGTTTTCCTGATGCTACCGGGGTGGCGTTTGCACTGACGGCTTGGGCCCGCCATCGCTGCTTGCAGCTATATTTCAAGTTGTTTTTATCTATCAAAAAGTGAAATTTCTGTCTTAATTTACTTACCCTTATGTATTTTAAACATGTATTACTTTCTTGAAACACACAAAACATTTTGAAAAATGTCACAATGAAAGTAAATGTGACCCCAATGTTCTTGAAAATATCTTTTGTCTTACTTTTGACATTTCAAAATATCCATTAAGAAATATCCATTAAGTTTTCTAAAATATACGGGCAAAATAGCAGTTTATCACTCTCGTTACCACTTCAACACTTCAACAAATCAGTTTTAACTCTAGCACTCAGGCGCTGAAACTAAAAGATTTTGCGACTGTACAAAGTCCATGAATATTTAATGAGGCGAGCACTGAGGCAGTTTATGATTGGTTGTCTGCAATGGCGACTGGGACTTCTCTAGAGTGGGAAAGCACAGATGTCACCTTATCAATCTCAAAATGTGTGCTCAGATCTATTTTTATTTTAGTGTCTGCAGTGTTTTCAAAAGAGCTTTACTAAGCAGTAAAATTACTTAAAGGGATAGTTTAGGGGAAATTCTGTCAGCGTGAACTCAAAGAAAGCAAGTCATTCAGGTTTGGAGCAACTTGAGGTTAAGGAATTGACAGAATTTTCATTTTTTGGTGAACTATCGCTTTAAATAATTGACCATTGGCTGTTTGTTGCAAAGTCCCATCTATTTAAGACAGGGGTGTCCAAGGTCCGGCCCGCGGGCCAAATGAGGCCTGTGGATGAATTTCAAAAAGCCAACATCTTGTCTATTAAAATATATTATATGTGGCCCGGGAAGAATAATTTACAAATAATGCAGTTTCACAACGTCAACACAAGGTGACCGCACCAAATTTTAGGCCAGATGTAGCAGTAAAACACAAGTGGTAACAATTTGATAACTCATATGCGCTGCCATTTCTTTAGCACACAAGAATTCCTAAACCCACCAAAACCTGTACTTGTGTGAAGCGTGCTGCACGGACCATTATTAGCTCTGCCTAAAGACAGCACAGCACAAGCTCAGAACAAATGCATTTACTTGCTGACTGACCTCGATCACGTGAAACCGGAAAACAGGAGAAACATTGTGCGACAACAATCCAGTTAGAATACTTTTCAATCCATAAATCACCAACATTTCCAATCGATTTACTGTAATAACACTAACTGTAACTGTAGTAGCTATTGTGGCAGAAATGTAGGATATTCATACAAATTTTTTTTAATAAAAAAACATAACTCCATTCTAGATATTATAATTATAAAAAATGTTACCCTTTAAAAATGAGGTTATTAAAATATTTACAGATTTTTACATACACAACTCAAGCTACTGTCAACTCAAGCTACTGTCATGTGTGTATATATATATATAGAGAGAGAGAGAGCGAGAGAGAGAGAGAGAGAGAGAGAGAGAGAAGCATCCGGTCCCCCGGGTTGTCCACATCATGGAATCTGGCCCCCTTTAAAAAAAGTTTGGACACCCCTGATTTAAGAGCTCAGCCACCCAATCATCTGAACAAATATAGACTAAAAGTCTAATGCTCAATGAAAATCATCAGAGCAGAAATCAAAATGACATGTTTAGAGGCTGTTGACCAATCAGCATTGATCTTCGCTCCATTAAAACGAATGATACAGGTATCTACCATAGACTCCCTTTATATCCACAATTTCAAAATGTCAAGTGTGAAACACTGATTAACCTATGGTTTAAAGAGGGGTTTAAAAAGACTATTCGAGGGTTAAGAGTGTGCGAAAAGTCCTTTTTGTGATCGGCACTAGTGGGATGTAATGTCTGTGCCAGAAGACTTTTACTGCTCTTGTTTTTTTTATCTTTGTTCTTTTTCTTTCCTAAAGTCTACTAACTTTGATGCCCATTTTGTTCTGTCCCCCAGTTCCATGTACCAGGATGATTTGTGGGGCTCACTGAAGGGCGAAGTGGGATTCCACCAGGTTAAAACAATGAGATCTGAGTGGGAAAGAGATAGATGAACCGACTCCAACCACATTTGTCTTCGGTTTAACATTTTCTTGTATCAATTGTTTCAGGAAAGCTTGCTTAATATGCATTTCTGAGCATCCTGGTGCTGAAGGAAGGAATGAATCAATAAAACTCTGAAACAAAAGAAGAATAGCAAGACGATTTGGGACTTCAAGACTCTAATTAAGAACAAGGTACTTTATTCTGCCTGTTGTAATAAGAGCTCTATAAAAAAAAATGTCGAGACCATAGATACTATATAAAATTGTCCAACTAATCTCTTATGTTCAATATTTAAGTAAACAGACAACAATATCGTCCAGCTCTGAAACTACTTGAAATATCGCATGACATGTTTGAGTTTTTAAAATTGGATTCACTGTCTGTTTATGAACCCAATAGTAAACCTCCTCCCTCTACAATGTCATGAATTAAACTAATGGCTTGGGAATATGACAAGGAGCATTGGGAAAATATGGAAGTGTGCTCGTGTGCAGCCATGTGCAAAATTGATATTTCACAGTATCTGATTTATCACGGCGCTCATTCTGTTTAGCGTCATTGTCTGTTTATATTCACTTTTTTTTGCAGTCAGAAGATTGTTTATCCACAGAGGTCGAAGAGAAATTTACAACCGGACAGTGTACAGCTGTGATGAATAGTCAGTTTTGACAGTGAAATGGATACTCTAATCTATATATTGACAGGCAGTTGATAAATGGCATGAAAGGCAGGTGTTCACTGATAATGAGCCAGCAAAGCAACCAGCTGATTAAGCTCCAACTTTGATTTCAGAGCTCAACGTCCTTTGATTCATCCTTTAGGAAAAGACAGCACGGATGAATGGAAGAACATTTCTTGGTAGCTCTACTTCAGTGTCACTACAAATGGCGAAGCTGTTAGTTTAACTACATTTCTCAATAGCGAGTAGGTAGCATTGCTAGTTTCTTAAATCGTAGTATTTTAGTAGTTAATCGGTTTTATTTAGTAGTGTGGCAGAAAACGTTACATTTTCCCTGACAGTATTTCAGCAATCAAGCGTGTGTGGTATGTTTAGAATCTGAACGAGTGATTCTTTAATTGTGAATGAATCACTATTTTGAGTTAGTTCTTTTTAATGAATTAGTCAAATGAATTAGCAAGGTGTGTCAGATCAGTTTGCAATTCAGTTTAGAATCAGAACTAGAGGTACTCGATTCATAAATGAATCACTCTTTTGAGTTGGCTCTTTTCAATTAATTGAATTGTAAATCAATTTAGATTTGTTAACCAATTTAGAATCTGATCTAGTGTCTTTAATCACGAATGAATCACTATTTGAGTCAGTTCTTTTCACTGCATTGCTCAAAAGGGTTAAGCAAGGTGTTCTGAATCGATTTGCAGTTCAGTTTAGAATTAGAATTACCCATACTCAATTAATGAATGAATCACTACTTTGAGTTGGTTTTTTTCAATGAATTGAATTGCACACAATTCAGAACAGTTTGCTAACCCATTTGATCGATTTAGTGACACTTGATTTGTGAAGGAATCACTATTTTGAGTTGGTTCTTTCAATTATTTGCTAAGGTAGATTAACAAAATGTTCTGAATCAGTTTGCAATTTGGTGTAGAATCTAAACTCAGAATACTTGATTTGTAAAAAAGAGCCATTTGTATTTTGAGCAATTTCTTTTCAATGAATTGGTCAAATGTTTTAGCAGAATGTTTCGAATCGGTTTTTCAGTTGAGAATCTGAACTTGCAATACACAATTCATGGATTAATCACTATTTTGAGTTGTTCTTTTCAATGTCTTAGTCAAATAGCTTAACAGAACATTTTGAAATTGTTTGCAGTTGAGTCTGAATCATTTAAATGACTCACACACTGAATCGTTTGGAGAGCTTCCTGAGTTAATAAGTCTTTGTAAAACAGTAACAGGATATATACAATCATTTGTAACCATAGTTTCATGCATCCTGTTGTTAGTCAGACAAATTTTCTGTAGCGTACAGTAGTGTCTGACTACATTTTTGAGTAGTTGGCCCAACACTGCATGTATGTATGTGCTACTTTCTTTATATTTATGACGGCACTCTTGATTAATCTTAGTGGGAAGTGATATGCTTTCAATATAAATGTTATTCTTTCAATCAAATCAAAGCCAGTTATTCACGCTACAAGCTTTTATGGAGGGGAGCAGATACGCATCAAATCTTTCGCTGCAATAGCTGTAAAATGCACGGCTGGGAATCCAAACTTGTAAAAACACTCCCAAGGACTATTGCTGTTCCAGAAGGTGCCTGTGTTGTGGTCCTTATGGGATTGCATGACAAATAAGAAGAATGATGAATGGACTGTCTCGAGGCTAATCTGTCTTCTGAGGGGTTAAACAGCATTCGGTTCAAACCTTGCTAACTGTTCTGTCTGAAGACAACATGAAAGCGGTTTGTTGTGTTAGCTGTGGGAAACGTTGTACGTAGACATTCACAAAGCATTTTTGCTTTTCTTTCTCATATCAGGGCATGATTCTGTTACTGTGCAAATGAGAGAATCAGTGTCATCTTTTTTGTTTTCCAAAGATATCTTTAATCAATACCATTTTTTTCACTGCTTTACCTCAAAGTGCATTAGTATTTTGCATGAAACAGAAATGTGCCACAGGTTTAAAAGCATTTTTGGTGTTTGAACACGCATAATTGTGCAATCTCCAGTCTTCTGCTGTCAGTGAATGGAAATCTATTTACATTTAGATGTCTTTACATCTGAATTCAGAGTGATACAAATATCTTGAAGTGCTTATGGTTTACATTTCCCAATACACTACCCTTTGCAGCAAGCTATTATAAATTTCGCCTTTTAGATATACCGGTAAATGAGGCAATTAAAAAATGTTTATAAATTATATGCCCAGGGGTTGATTTGCACTCTGTGTATATCATGAGAGGCGAAAGGTCCCAATAAAATATAAATATAAACCACTCAAGTGAAGCAGCTTTAATTAAAACACAGCTGCTGCAAGGCCAAAGACCAGCACCAGTGCAAAATGACCACTGGTGGGTTTTGCCACTTCATCGTTCATATTAATCTTGATATATTATTATAAAATAATGAATAGACATGAATGATTTCTCTAGCAGAGGTGAGATTAATAAGACTTTAGAAAATGAAGTCTTAAAAAAAATCCCTAAGGATTTATAAGACATGGATTTCTGAAGGTTCACTTCAAAATGTTCTTTATCAGTATTTTTTTATCTTTTTCTAGTACAAAATATTGAAAAGTCCTTAAAATATGACCAGTTTACTTAACATTGGATATTAAGACTTGATTTCAAACATAATCATTAATTGTTTATTTTTCTTAATACAATGGTAAATATTTTTTACAATGAATTTAATTTTTATTTTTTTTTTACAAATCATTATAAATAATTTATGAAATGCATGTAAAATAAAAATAATACAATTTTAAAAATGCAATTAGGCCTACTTGTATGTAAATTGACTAATGTTCAAACGTTTGGGGTCAGTAAAGTTTAAAGTATAGTTTAAAATGTATTAAAATAGAAAAGTTATTTTACATTTAAAAAATATTTCATAATATTGCTATTTTTTACTGTATTTCTGATCATGCTTGAGGCCTTGATGAATATAAAAGACTTCTTTCAAAAACATTAAAAAATCTTACCAGCCCCAAACTTTTGAATGATAGCATATCATATTATACAATATTTTATGTATCTTATACAATATTTCAAGACAAAAATGCTGATTAAAAATATACATATTTGCAGTGTTTTAGCTGATTGTTGATTTACATGTTTTGAGAGATGCACAGTAAGGACGACTGACATTATGAACTAAAGCTGTTTTTCAGGTTCATTTTCACAGCCACATTTATTTGTTCAGTCCTTTCCTGCGACCCAGGACTCCAGGAGGCTTTTGTGTTGACTTCCCCTCTGCAGTCAATTTCCCTCAATCCCAATATGCGGTTGAGGGGGAAAGAATGGCAAGCTGTTAATTGATTGGCAGCAGTTTGCATATACAGTACCGGAAAAATGTCACGTCAAGCTGTTTGTGTGACCTAACTGGCTCTCGGTTAGAGTGACTGAAGAGGGTAATTTATCATTTGACAGTCTTTAGAACGGGCTGTCTGTGCTGTCTCGCTATTGTTAGCATCAGCGGTCAGCTGTCACGCATGTTGGATTAGCAAGCATAGATGAGCGACTCAGCAGGATGGACACAAGCAAGGCCACACAAGGAAATGTCAGAGGAAGACAACCATCGCATGACGATCAGAGCCAATGATTAATAATCTGTGCTGAGAATGTTCAAGAAGTTCAAGAAATTGTTATGAGTTGGAAAACGATGTTGATTGAAGTTTGAATCATTTTTTAATGTACCGTGGCCTTTTAAAAAATGGGCAAAGAAAAATTTAAAATTATTATTTTTTTGGCTGGTTGTATTTTCAATAAAGTTGTTGTGTTGTGCATTAGGGCTAGGCTGAAAATATAGATTTCTCGATATTAATTGATTCTTCTCATTTTGATAAACCAATTTTCTTAATATTCTTAAAGTGATAGTTCACCCAAAAATGAAAATTACCCCATGATTTACTCACTCTCAAGGTGTATATGACAATCAGAGTTATAATAAAAAATGGCCAGCTCTTCCAAGCTTTATAATGGCAGTGATGTAGGATGTAGGTTTACCAACTGTTTGGTTACCAACATTCTTCAAATTATTATATATTTTTTTGTGTTCAGCAGAAGAAATAAACTGATACAGGTTTGGAACAACTTGAGGGTGAGTAAATGATGAAAGTATTTAAATTTTGGGGTGAACCATCTCTTGTTTCTACACAAATCAGTTGTTAATTTTAACAAACAATTTTAGTTTGAATGGGTGAGGCTTCCGGTGTCATTTGCGCGGGGTTATTTTAGCTGTACAAAAACATTCTGTTGTGCTGCTTTATGTTGCAAACTGTTATT